AATGTTCTGAGGCTTTATGTCACAGTGAATGATCTGAGTGCTGCATTCTTCATGCAGATATGTTAGTCCTCTGGCAATTCCGGATGCAATCTGCAACCTCTGTTTCCAACTAGGCCTCAGAAATCCAAATAGGAAGCTCGCCAGAGATCCGTTCTGCATCAACTCATACACAAGAAGCCGGTTCTCATCCTCATTGCAGTATCCAAGCAATCTCACCAGATTCTGGTGGCGAGTATGTCCAATCACCTTCACTTCCGTCTTGAACTCCTTCTTCCCACACTGAAAAACCTTTTCTAGTTTCTTGACGGCAACATAATTCCTGGACAGTTCTCCTTTATAAACAGTTCCAAAGGCACCCTTTCCCAGTTCTTCCTTGAATCCTTTTGTGGCATCTTCAAGTTCTTTGTATGTGAAGCAACGCAGATTCGTCTCAATCTCTCCTTTACCATGGATTCCGTTGAGATCCTTAAGCTTTCTTTGGTAGAAACAGAACAGAAACAGGGAAATTACAGCCAAAGTAAAAATGTTGAAAAATGCTGATGTGCCTAAGAGGACCGAGAGAATTAGATTGACTTGATTCTGCCTTTTTTCGCTTGGATTTGGATTGGGAGGGCTCAATGGAGATTCACCTGATTTCAGTACCTTGATAAATGCTTTTCTATTAATTTGTTCTTGATTGAACCACCCTTTTGAAAGCGGTAGTTTCTTCTTCCAGCAGCGTCCAGTGCCATTGTTCAGCTCCGGAGCCTCCAGGATGGCTACTGCACAGATACAGTCAATAAGGCAAGACCTACTGCATTCTGTCTCATTTACAGGCTGCAGGAGTTCGTAGTCACTAAAGGGCCAATCTGCAAATTGCATTGTATTGAATTCAAAACGATCCTCCCCAATAGTAAAGCCTTCCTCGTCACAGTCTTCTGGCTTGCTCTGGTAGTTGGGCCTGCATCCAAAAAGTGGATTCTTAGCATCCAGTACAGAAAACCCGTATGGGCACCGACATGTCGCCCTCCCATCCTGGTTAGATTGACAGATGCTGTTGTACCCACAAGGCCCACTTCCCAGTGCTTCTATACCCACAAAACTGGAGCAGATATCCTTAGGTCTATACCACCAGGATGCCCAGGTTGCATCTCCATACGAGATCTTGGAGTGAGAATACAGAGTGAAAACTCCATCAAAACCAAGTGTTGCCTTGTAGTATGAGTCCTGATTTGGGACTGTATTTTCTGGGGCAATCTCGACAAGACTTCCACTTGATTTCCTGATCAGGATATACCCGGATTTGTTGAAGATCAGCCTGGAAACATCTGTGATGTTGAAGTAAAACTGCAAAGGTTTTCCGGTGATGACATCTATTTGATTGAGGACTAGAGATTCGGAGGTGAAACGGAGCTGAAATCTTCCCTTCTTGTAGCTTGTTTCGGAGATGGCTGATGAAAGGATGCTGTCTAGGCCTAGTTCCTGTCCTGGCAAGATTGTATCTGTTGGATTTTGGAAGCTCTCCCATATGTTCTCTGAATTCCTGCCCGTGATGACAAAGTTTCCGGTATCCAGCATGGCTGCATGGGATACCCCTCCAGTGCCATCTTGAGTGCTGTTAGACCACCAAAGCTCCATGCCAGAAGGAGCTGTGAGCACTAGACCATTGGAGGTCAGCTCAACTCTGGATTCTGTCTCTACGGGGTTGTCTCCATTTGCAGACCAAACTATGGTTTTTTCAGGTATGTTGGCGAACCAGATAGCAAGGAAGAATCGATCTTGTTGGTCTGGAGCACGGCGAAACCCAAATTCAAAATCACCAGATGGTGATTGCCATGTAAGGTTTCGATTGTCGGCATGGAGGACATCGCCCACGTGGACGTTGCGGGAACCCTCTTGAGCTGCTGCAAGAAGGAAGAAACAAGTTAGGAGGATGAGCAGTGGATTCCGAACAAGAGCTAGAGATGACATAATGGAATCAAATGAACTTTGCATAGGAAGTAATTGTAAATGCTAAGTCCCTAGAGAAATTTTGGGAGTTTCCTGATTTTCTGAGGTATTTGCAGAAGCTAATCTGCGCAATCGCTTTGGCCGCTTGAGAGCCACACGATTTTGGGCGAAAATCCTTGGCCAGCCCTCCACCTTACAGATTATGAAAGTATCAGCCCCTTAACTTATAATATGAAACTTTTAACCCCTTACCTTACTAATTATGAGAATATTAACCCCTTAACTTACAATATAAAAGTTTTAATCTCTTATCTTTTCAACTTAAATGAAAAAATCCAAAATAAATGGTAGTGTCATATGTTTGTTAAAATTTTGTCATCCATTGTCATGTTAGTGC